AGAATATGGGAATGGAGACATTTTCCAAAATAGAAAAAATAAGAATGCCTAAGCAAGTGATGAAGGTCTATTTAGGTTTGTTATATAAACGATGAGACAATAATATACACATAATCTTAAAATGTCTATGGTCATAGTTGAGTCAACTAGTTTAAGGAACAAAGTATATATCTCGTCAAAGTTTATCTGAGAATATTTGGTTTTTTTGCCCAAGCCTTATCTACATAGCACATGATAATTAAAAGTACCAGACTGGTGGAATTAACCTTATTGGATGTTTAACAGCCATAGTTTGAGGCCTGGTCAGAGGGACTTAAAAGACAGCTTGTGCCCCTTGCCCTCCAAGGTCGACTAAGTTCCAGGCAGGGCACTATGGAACATCTCTCAAAATGTCCTGTAACTGTGGTGAGTCACCTGTTCTCTTGTTCAGGGAGGCCATGGAGACTCCACGAGATGGACTTGAACCAATGTCCAGTCTACAAAGAGGAGGGTCAACTCAGAGGAAGCATCTCATTCATGCTTCCAAGTGAAGCCAGACATGGTCGAGTAAGACCTTTGACTTATCTTCACATAGATGGAAGTGGTAAAAGAAACCATCCAGGAGCTCCTCCCAAGCCCATGTGACCCCTGAGGAACAGATCCTCAAATGCCCTTAAGTGTAAAAATAAATTGATTTATTTTGGCCAACTGTATGGTCTTAAACACCCAAAAGGAAAGTATAACCAAAGAGTAAAGACATCAGTATATTTCTTTAAGAGATCAAGGGATTAGACCATCCAGACATTAGGCTTAAGTCTATATAAAAAGTTATTTAGACAATTATTTCTCATTGATGATTTTGTTCCTAACCAGAAAGTGCTGCTTAGATGTAAGACTTCAAATCTTGGTCTCCAATACTGTAGTGCCCACCTGTAGCTAAGGGAGACAACCAGCTATTCTAAAATGATGGATAAATTTGTTTTCTCCCCCTATCTAGAAGCCTTTGAGAGGGAACTGACACTAATTCTAACCACTCCAACAGCTACCAAAATACCTGAAAGCAAATCCTGAATCCATCACTCTAGAGTTCAGCCTTGAAAGACAAAAGAAAAATGAGGAGGAACCCAACAGAGGGATGCTTTCGGAAGCCCTTGTCAAGAAATTCCAATGGACTCTCATATGAACATTTGAAAATTGTCCTGTTCTGACTTTTTTCTAGTTCCCTGTCTAGAATTTGTAATGCTCATTACTCTTGCCTTTACTTCTCCTTCACATCTCCTATTCACTATTCAAAGATTTTCTTTTCCTCCTTGAGTTAAGAGTTACACAGTTTGGGAGTTTTTTAGATAGATCCACTGAAGGGGCACTCCAATTGCCTCACCCTCTGTCCCTGTTTAGTATGGAAGATGCCAGAGCGCTCTGTGACTAGATTCCCTATTGGCAATTTGGGTAACCTCTTCAGAGGATGGTATGATAAGAATAGGAGGTTGGAATTTGCTAGGCAGTTAGGATAAAAAGACCCCAAAGAAAAGTAGCCAGTTTCTTGGCTAAAACTCACAATGTCCTTTGGCCTCTTAGCAACCTACTCCATTCCAAAGTCCAAAAATGTCAAAACTATTTGGGAGCTTTTATCTAATCCTTAAAAGATTTTAGGCCCACCAGCCTCTTTCCTGGATACTGGGGCTGACCTCTCAGCCCGAAGCCACCACTGCTTCCTGATCCCTTGCATCCAGATGGACCCAGTTTCTTTTCTTGTCCCTGGGAGCCCTCTGGGCCTGGTCCTGCCCTCACCTCCTTCTGCTTCCCTGGGTCTGCACGACCTGCCAGCTTCTCTCCTGGGTAAGTCAATTGTGCCCTGACTCCCCCATCCTCATTCACCCTCCCATCTCCCCTGCCTGTCTCTCCTCCTAGCCTGGGTGCTGTCCCATTCCTTGTCTTGGTACCCCAGACACCAGGGGAATTACCACTGCGTCCTGATCCTTTGCATCCAGCCAACCCAGTTCCTTCTTCCCATCCTCAGGAGCCCTCTGGGCCTGGTCCTGCCCTCACCTGCCTCTTCTTCCCTGGGTTGCACAACCTGCTAGCCTCTTTCCTGGATACCGGGGCTGACCTCTCAGCTTCCTGATCCTTTCCATCCAGACCAACCCAGTTCCTCCCTACAGTCCACAGGAGCCCTTGGGACCTCTTCCGCCCCCATCTCCCTTTGCATCTCTGGGTGGCATGGCCACCAGCTGCCCAAGACCAGCATATTTCCTGGGTCCTGCTCCCAGGCCAGTCCAACCCACAAATTCCTGAAGACAACATCTTTCCTGGAGGGATCCAGACCTTAGGAGAAAGCCTGAGAACATCTGATCCTCATCTGATTTGGGCCTCTGTGGGAACTCCTGAAGACAAAAGCAATCTGGCCACTCCAATATAAAATCAAAAGAGA